CACGCCCACAGAACGCCCAAGACTGTCACGCATGTCAATGTCACGTTTGTCAAATGTCAAACATTTTGAAAAATGTTTTGATATTTTTTCATTTTTGAATGTATGTTGTAAATTTCTATAGATTTGCCAAAAACCTTTTTCCCCACCCACTCTAACGCCCACAAGCCGCACAAAACTCTCAAGCCCACAATTTTAAAAAATGCTTAAGTTTTTTTTTCATTTTATTATTTTTTTTCCCAATTTCTACCGATATTCCAGAAAATTTTGAAATTTCTCGTTTGAAATTCGAAATCTGATAGTTTTATTATTATTTTTCCAATTTCTACCGATATTCCAGAAAATTTTGAAATTTCTCGTTTGAAATTCGAAATCTGATAGTCGGGGAACTCGACTATAGCATTCTATCTTGTTTTAACTAATTAAATATCAATTTAAATTGAATCTATTTTCTATTTTTCGCTGATGATTTAACCTTTTAAATTAACATACACGTGCTTTAAGCTCGGAAAACATCGTGTCCATTTTTAGTGACATTGAACTGTTAGCGGCTTACATCACAATGCATTTGGGTTGCATTAAAGATATTGACACTGCTATAAGTCGGAATCCCAATCCCCCTGTGTGATTCCACTCCCCATTAATGACATCAAACCCATCGAGCTGCCCGTCCAAATGGTATTGTGCGTCACCATCTTTCACCTGCCAATCGTTCCGAAGATGATTTGTAATTTGTGCGGTTTTTCAAGCGCTTTTTCAATGCACTCGACCGCAGCAACTCTGCATCTTTTTGGGGGGATAATGCTCCCCAGCTGGGCACGATCAATGTGAAGATCGTACATCATACTGGTTGTTTTTTCGAGAGTCTTTGTCACGTTTATTGCCAGCTCCGGACATATATTATATTATATCTCTTTGATGGTTTATGGTTACTTTACTTATCTCAACACATGACTTTAGCAGGGCGTTGCCTAGTGGGGGTCGAGCTTGGGATAATATATCACTTTATTCATGTACAATATTCAACTCTGATGCCAAATCTTAGACAGCCAGTAACTACTGTTACTATTAAAACCAGAATTTACTATTTTAAAATGTTATAAAAAAGGTTGCTTTTACTAACATAGTAACATTTCCGAATTTTTATTGTAGTGTCACAAAATACGGGTTTTGGCTGCAAATATAATCATTATCTGGATAAATTTGTAATTACATCTATTTGTAAACAATGATGTTTGAAGAATTAAACAGTGACAAGCAGATATAGTCACGTTGGCGGCTGATCTGCAGTCATTAGTGCTCCGATGACTTTGATGGGTGCGAGATAAATCACCGGGATTGGTCCAATCCCCGAACACTTCATGGTAACCACACCACTGTTTGTTCAGCTCATTTCAATGCCAAACTCTTTTGTCAGATCGCGATTGCCTCACAAATATTGTTCTTAAATTTTTCCGCTTATGGAAAAGTCGTAGTGTTCATACATAAACAACATACAGCATTAAACTTTGCTGTTTTGATATGACAAATTCTAGGCTGATGCTTGCCTGTATTTCCATTTAATATTAATTGGATAGCATCTATCTATATTTCTGCACTTCTGCCCCAACCAACCATCACGATTAAATATTTATCAACTTGACGAAAGCAAACTTTAAACAAGCAAGTTACGATGCAGCAAAACGATCCGGACAGCAACCAACAAGAGTTATTTACAAAAGTTTGAAGCGTCCTTCTCGATGGGAAGTTGCAAAATAGAAAAGGAAATCGATTACGGATTCTGTGGTCTTTACGGAAAACAGTGCTGGTTGACTTGGCAGAAAGCTATTCTTCGACTTGCAATTGTAATTGTCCAATTAGGAATCGAGCAGTTTCAGTTGCAGCAAGTGGAGGGATTACCGTAAACTGAAAAAATTCATAAAAATGGGCAATTGATCAGATACAAATTTGCATAGCCTGCCAATATAGAGTTAGGCACTTGGACCTTTTTTAATATTGTGCAACGCCGTTGAAATTTGTAAGAAGCTGTAAAAATCCATTTGGTATTTCGACTAATGGCTAGCTACAAAATTCCCCCTAAAACCTCAACTATTCACATTTTTCGTTGCGGAACATTAAAAAACTTTAGTTTTATGCTCATGTTTCGTTTTAATGCATGCTTGCATTTCTCGAATTTGTGAAAATGTTTTAAAGCTACAAGCTGTGTGTTATTTGGGTGTAAGTTGTAAAACTTATGTATAGAAAGTAAAAACAAACTTCATCATAATGTCCTTATTTTTCCTATTTAATTAAAACGCTGTTAGCAGAAGTTTATATCAGTAGCTTAGTTGCCATAGCAATGGCAAATGGATGGCTAGTAAAAATCTCGAACTCATGGAGACTGGGGAAAAACACGTTTATCTAAAGCCAAAGGCAGTTGGCCAACTGGCTGATGAATGTTCACGGCGATGACGCGCGCTTCAGGGCCTTTAAACGAAACTGTTTTGAAACACAACACCGCCATCTGCCGGCGAACAAACAAGTGACTTTAGCAGGAAGAGATTCATGTGCGTGAAGTGAATCCGCTTGAAGGAGGCCGACGCTTCGCAGGGTCCTTCCATAAGCCCTTTAAGTGCCTGCATATTGGTCCAAATTGCAACTAGAAGGCATATGTATGCATTTGCATTTGAATTTTCGGTTCCAATCACTCTGCATTTGTGCAATCCAACGTGCTGTTTCTCGATTTCATCGGAGAACGTGTCCTTAGTTGAATCAGCCACTAATTACGCATTGTCGTTGATGCCTCAAATCATTGTGTAAATTTAATTCGTTTGTGCTAATTTATTCCAGGCTTTTAAAGTGTTTCAATCGATACAGCTGCAAGGCATTCAGTAAGGGGATTAATTTCACACAATGCATAAATTCTGATAATTATATTAATAGAAAATAAATGTACTCTTGCATTTATTTTAACTTAGCTTGTATAATTAGAGACATATATCAATTTACTGCAACTTTAATTTGATGCATTGCAGGATTGTTATCCTTTCACCAATGAAACAAGAATTTCATCATCATTATAAAGTTTATTTTGGGAAGTCAGTGCTTTATTTAACCTTGCATGAACTGTCAAGGAATTTATGTAAGAGATGATCTTAATTCTTAATTTATTGCATTGCAGCAGAGAATGTAAAAATGTTATTAACCTGAATGAATTACCGAACTTTTATTTGCTGGGGCTTTCGCATTTTATTTCAACACAGATTGAAATAATACATAAAATGCACATTCAGTTGTGGGAATTTGTGCACTTAATATTTATTTCAAAAGCAACCAGCGCATTCATGGAACTTTTCAGTGTCAGTTAATGCAATTATTCAATTGACTGCCCTATCTTCCCAATTTATTTGAGTTGCGGCGTAAATTGTACCACTTGAACAGCTGCTGATCTGAATAGCTGCTGGTGCTAAAGTGCCTTAGATTAGCTACAGTTCATAGTTTCAATTAAGTAACACACAGCTTATTTCTTTTTGCGGTCAAACTGTGAGGTAACGAGCGAATTGAGTACAAATAATAATCAAATAATCAAACCCGCCGAACAGATGAGTCAGACAAAGAGCTAACAGCATGCAAATTGGCCATCGGCAAAACCCGGCTCAAAAGGTATTAAAAACGAAGAAAAAGCAAAAATGGGTAAGCTGAGCAGAGCAAAATGCTCCGGAGAATCCAAGAGTGAGAGTGCTGGCCAAACGAAAGTGAAAGCCCATACACAAACGCTCGACTGAAAGGCGCGATTTCGATTGATCTGCCGAACTTGAGCGAGCGTTGAACGCAGGTGACAGTCGGCGGAAAACTGCACTCGGAGAAAACGGGTGCAAGAAAGTTACATTAATGATTTTCTTTCTCATTTGGTGCTTGACTTTGAAAATTAGAATAATATGAGCACACTTTTGTGCTATTTCCAATGAATACATATTTCGTCTTTCCCCCCAACTCGCAATCCTTAAATTAGGTTATCGAAAACGGGAACAAAGCTGATTATATTAGTTAGTATCAACACATTACGGCATTTATGTTAATGTTATTGCTGCTTGATTCAACAACACCATGAATATTTATAATGAGTGAATAAATTTGACTAGACACGTTGTTTTATTAATTTATTTTAATAAATATTTCGTTATACCAACAAAAGGAGATCAAAGTGTATAATATCGCATTTTGTACTAACGAACAGTTGACATTTCCAAATGTTTTCCTAGTTGAACATCCATTTTCTTCCTCTGCAACAATGTTGTGCGGAAGAGAGTGCAAATGGGTGAGATGAAGAGGTAGAAATGTTGTCAGTTACGGATTGGTTGCCGATTGGCAGTCGGAGCAACTGCCTCCGAGCCAGAGATAGACGTAAATAATTACCCAACCACCATCGATGATCGATTCCCGCGCCCAAATTAGCATGCGCAACTGGACAAACCGAGTTGGCGCTTCGTAATCCCAATCTCCACATCCACCACAATCCCCCATCCTCGAATCACCGAAAGCGAACGTGCGTGGCTTGCAGTTGGCCATTTATGACGGCTCTCTTAGCCGCCTCTTATTTGTTTGGCTTTAAAAGTAAATACGGGAGGTAATCAGGCGGGCGCATGCGCAGCCAACTGTGGCCAAAACGAACACATTTCTCTTTGCTTTTCTTTGCCGGTCGTCGTCTTGACTTTTTGTGTATTTTCTGTTCGAATTTATACCATTTCTGCCTTAAACGTGAGTCGCATGGCCAAAAGCTGGACACGCTCGAATGTGGCCCACAAACCGAAAAAAATTTGTTTGCCACTGAAATCTGTGTCAGTATGCAAGCGGGCTGGGCATTACGTCTTATCACCGATTGAATAAGCCCGTGTGCATACCGCTGTGGTTGGAAAGTGTGGCGAAAAATATGGTAATTTCATATCATATCATTAAGGAATAGTTCATAAAGGTAATTTAAATAATCATTTATCATCATTCTGGAAATCGAATTCGACATTTAGTTACCTAAAAAATAGTACAGATCCATTTACTTTCAATGCCGCCTCTTTTTTGACATACCAAGTTGTATGTAGGCCATATTGGCCGTGGTCTACGGGAAATTTGGCTATAATAGCATTTTCATCAGGAGTCCAATTCCAAAGTCGCATCTCTGTGCCAGCCTGTTGATGTTTGTTTGAAAGGTTTATAACAATTGAAAAATACCATCATTTCTTTGCTTACCTCGTACGGGCAGGTGTGGTTGACATTTGTGAAAGGCTTTATAAACGAATATATTAAATTGGGAATGAAGAACTTCTTTTGATTCCTAAAGAATTGGCAAACGTCCACTCGCATGTCGTAAAAAAATGGATGCCAACCGCCATTCTCGCGCTTAACTATTTTGAAATGGATCTCAACCTTCAGAAAAATTTGCTTTAGTTATTGGAAATGGAAATTATGTCCGTATTACCTCTGAGATGGTGGTATTTAAAAAGGCTGCAAGGTTGATCATGTTGTGTGTTCGATCAATCGCCTTTATTTCGCACAGCTTGACTTTTCCCAGTTCCGGAGCACAAACTTCACAATTGAGGGAATTGAACTTATATGACCCGTGCACCTTGAAGATTACTATATTTTAGTCCTAAACTCCTGAAATATGGTATCTTACTAACAGGTATACAACCGAAGTTATTAAAATAAAATATGTATAAATAAATAACTTGCACTCTGAACATTTTACTGTTTCATACTGAAAGCTGCCCGTTTCGTAATACTTATAGAAAAAAATCAGTTTGCTAATTTATTTGTAATTGCCATTGATGGCATTCGTCTGATTTGATCTTTGAACTTGTTGGCTAAAAATATATCGCATTAGCAAGAAAACTTTTTGGTTTATATGAATTTTAATGCATATTTCTACAAATGGTGAGGAAATTGATATACCGGTTACTCTTAGAGTAAAAGGGTATACAAGATTCGTTGAAAAGTATGTAACAGGCAGAAGGAAGCGTTTCCGACCAATATATATTCTTGTTCAGGATCAATAGCCAAGTCGAACTGGCCGTCCGTCTGTCCGTCCATCTGTCCGTCCGTCTGTCCGTCCGTCTGTCCGCCCGTCGATCCGTATGAACGCCTCGATCTCAGTAACTCTAAAAGCTAGAATGTTGAGATTAAGCATGCAGCTTCCAGAGACATAGACAGAGCGTAAGTTTGTTTCCAAATGTTGCCCACAAACCGCCAAAAACTGTCACGCCCACACTTTTGAAAAATGTTTTGATATTTTTTAAATTTGGAATATATCTTGAAAATTTCTATAGATTTGCCAAAAACCTTTTTCCCCACCCACTCTAACGCCCACAAGTCGCACAAAACTCTCAAGCCCACAAAATTCTAAAAAATGCTAAAGTTTTTTTTCATTTTATTATTTTTTTTCCCAATTTCTACCGATATTCCAGAAAATGTTGAAATATCTCGTTTGCACTTCCCACTAGCTGAGTAACGGGTATCTGATAGTCGGGGAACTCGACTATAGCATTCTATCTTGTCTAAACTAATTAAATATCAATTTAAATTGAATCTATTTTTCGCTAATGATTTAACCTTATAAAATTAACATACACGTGCTTTAAGCTCGGAAAATTTTAGTGTCATTGAACTGTTAGCGGTTTACATCACAATGCATTTGGGTTGCATTAAAGATATTGACACTGCTATAAGTCGGAATCCCAATCCCCCTGTGTGATTCCACTCCCCATTAATGACATCAACGACATCAAACACCGTCCAAATGGTATTGTGCGTCACCATCTTTCACCTGCCAAACGTTGCGAAGATGATTTGTAATTTGTACGGTTTTTCAAGCGCTTTTTCAATGCACTCGACCGCAGCAACTCTGCATCTTTTTGGGGGGATAATGCTCCCCAGCTGGGCACGATCAATGTGAAGATCGTACATCATACTGGTTGTTTTTTCGAGAGTCTTTGTCACGTTTATTGCCAGCTCCGGACATATATTATATTATATCTCTTTGATGGTTTATGGTTACTTTACTTATCTCAACACATGACTTTAGCAGGGCGTTGCCTAGTGGGGGTCGAGCTTGGGATAATATATCACTTTATTCATGTACAATATTCAACTCTGATGCCAAATCTTAGATAGCCAGTAACTACTATTACTATTAAAACCTGAATTGACTATTTTAAAAAGTTATAAAACTTGCTTTTACTAAATAATAAATATAGGCCCCATAGTAACATTTCCTGAATTTCAATTGTAGTGTCACATAATACGGGTTTTGGCTGCATAAATAATCATTATCTGGATAAATTTGTAATTACATCTATTTGTAAACAATGATGCTTGAAGAATTAAACAGTGACAAGCAGATATAGTCACGTTGGCGGCTGATCTGCAGTCATTAGTGCTCCGATGACTTTGATGGGTGCGAGATAAATCACCGGGATTGGTCCAATCCCCGAACACTTCATGGTAACCACACCACTGTTTGTTCAGCTCATTTCAATGCCAAACTCTTTTGTCAGATCGCGATTGCCTCACAACTATTGTTGTTCTTGAATAGTTAAGTAAATAGGAATGTTTTTTCCTCGGATTCGTGTTCGTGCAGGTGTCTAACTTTGCCATTTATCGGCGGTTAGCAGCCGCATTTGGGCACTGAGAACACCTAGGAAATCACTTCCCACGCTGGGGGTCATATGGTGCTCCATTAACATTTCTTGTGTGCAAATTAGCTTTATAAAGCGTAAATTTCAATTGCGAGTGTCGATGCAAATGGCTTTTACTCCGCCTGGCTTTCCATTTATGAGGTAGGCGTAGGCACCCTACGATGAATTGAAAAGATACTTTTGCTTTCCGAATACCCACTTCCCCGGAGAAATCCTGAGGGGATAGAACCTTTCAGGACTGCTTTCCGGACGGATAGACAGCCAGACATCCGTATATATTTGATGAGCATATTTTTAGCGGCACTCAGGCGAATCTCCGAGATAAAATGTCTGCGACAATATAAGGTGATGATGAGTGTCGAGTGCTTTGTCTGTCTGGCAGACGATTATCTGTGGTTTATGGGGCCGCCATGCATATTCAACGAAGACATCTAATTTATTCCTAATAATTGGCACAGATTGCACAATGCGAGTGCCATAATAATGGCAACGGCAACAATGGCCAGAAAAACAGAAAACGAAATTGCCAAAACAATATAATATAATCAGCCGCAGCCCCACAAATCATTGACATTTCGATGTGCCAATCGTTCGACATTTTGGCGGGCAATTTAAAATTAATTTCCCTGCAATTTGTGCAGACCAATTACCGCCGTGGAGCTGCCTTTTTGTGTGGCCTTTGTCTGACTACATGTCGTCATTTAGTAGTTAACAACGAAATTTCGCTTTCGTTTAAGCTCCGCTGACTGATTTCTTGATTTCATCTCAACTGCTCGCTCCCCAGCTGTTTGCTCTCCCTTTCTGCTATCCGCCACTATCGGGCTCATCATCCGTCCATCTCTTTATTTCGTTTTATAGGTCGTCCATGGCGTGCGCATCCAACTGGCTGATAGCGAAGATGACTCCGCCGGAGATCCAGCGAGGCATAGCGTCCGCCGGCGCAGCGTGGTCGCCGAGCAGCCACTGCGAATTCTGCTCGTCTACGACGAATCCGTCTACAGGTGAGTACCGCTTACACTCTGCGAAATTACTGCAAATAGTACCAATTTTGTGCCAATTCAAAGCTCAATGAGCAAGAGAAAAACTCGTTGAGATGTAAAAGGATAATTTGTATTGCGTGCAGAAGTATTAATATTAGTTCGAATTGAATATAAGCTTTTTTGCTTTATATAGATTAATATAGATAGATTTACCATAGAGAATTGAGTTTCTCGCCGTGTCGATCTGCGCTCCAGCTCTGAAAATTGACTTTAATTGCACTTTAATGGCAGCCAGCCAAGCAGACAGAAAAAACAGCTTACAATTTGACTTGGCCGAATGTCAAGTTAACATAAAGTCGCGCAAAAGCGGCTAAATAACTCACTTTCCGGACCGTTTTGCTTTGGCCATGCACCGTTACCAACGCTGCGAGTTGGGTAACCAAACTACCACTATATGCTATACTGCTTGAGTTCAGGCCCAAATCGGTTGACCATGTGTGAGTGCGCAATTTGTTCGAATCCACGCAGTTGGCCGAGGTGTCTCCTAAGGTTGGCCATCGATTGCTCCATCCACATGGTCACTAGCTGGCCACTTTAGCTGGCCAGATTGGCTGACTGTTGCTAGCCCGCTTCGATCTGAACGATCGATTGGCGTATATTGGCAGCGGACAAGGTCAACAGGAAAGCAGAGAGTTTTAGTTTTGGGCCTCGCTTTCGATTCAATGAATAATTTAGTCGTGAATAAGCGACTCAAACAGGTGCCAACAGGCACACAATTAACCTGCCTGAGTGTAAGTCTCAAAAAGTTGGCAGTGAATAAGCGGCGACCTTCGTGTAAAAGTGCTTTCGTCGAGCAATTTACAATTACTAATTGATTTCAAGCTCAATTGAAGCTTGATACGATTTCAAGCTTAATAAAACTGACATATTTTAATCCGATTATCCGGCTTTGGCCACAAATGGTTGCGCTTCTGATTGTATTGATTACTGACTAATCAGATAGTGCTGGCTAATTTACTACAATTTTTAATTAGGTAGCATTCCATTACTATCAACTTGTTATGAAAGCTGTGCTTTGTAATGCCCTTTGTAAGATGGAACTGTTCTAAGCCCTGAGTTCAGTAATAAGCTGTAATGGCGATAACAAAGGCATCACATAAATTGGTTGTCAGGCATTTATATGTCCAGAAAGGCAAATTGGCTTTTTGGATTTCACAGAATCCCCACAGCAACTAGGAAACGACACCCACGCCTTTGTGTAACCCCTTTTATTTCCAGAATTTCATAAACAAAACTATTTTCTTGTTTTTCATGCTATCCTGCGTTCATGCTTTCACTTGCCTCCGCCAGGCTGGAAGAGGAGAAATTTAATTTGATAAATGTGAGTTGACATTTCTTGGCCACGACCTGGCATACTGAATACCTTGCTTTAATCCCCTCCAGGACACCGTGCTGCCGGAAGCCGTGCAGTTCTGGGAACAGGCCCTGATGGTGCGGGAGACCAAGGGCGTCATTCGGCTCAATAGGTGCGTTTAACCCCTCCACTTTCAAGCAACCCGCAAGCAGTATGAAATATTAATTTTACATTTGTTTTAGGAAATGCGACAGCACCCAGGTGTATGTGAAAAACGGACATACCCACTGCATCGACCATTGCAAGGCGACGACCATGTGCGGCGAGGTTCAGGTGCCCGATGCGCACTTGGATGTGAGTAATCCCCGGAATCTTATCAGAGCTATCCCCACCCAACGAAATTCTTGTGGAACACTAGCCACACCTTGCTCAGTTCGAAACACCTTCGTTTGAAGAATGACCTTGGGTTGCAGTAAGCGCAGCCTAACCAAATTTAAACTGCTAAAATTGAAAACTGGTTTAAGCCACTCATGAGCACTTGCAGCTTTGATCATGGGTCACTTAAATACTTGAATAGTTGGTAGCTACAAAACGCCCTTTGTTAAATTGCATTTCTGTGGCCAGGTTGTAAGCATTTCAACAAAATATGCCTTTCTTGTATTAATATTTTACATGTAATTAGCATGCCTTCTCCTTTTTTCTTAAAGGCAGAAATGATGTATTTTTTGGAGATCTTAATGTCTGGGCTTAAAATATAATTTACTACCACATGTTTGTACACTTGGCCATTGTATTTATAATTAAATTTTTTCAGGTGTGTCGGGTGTGCAATGCCACGGGTCAGAACTGTAGAATCGATAGTAACACGCAGCCGGGCGACGGAATTGAGAATGCGGACTTCGTGTTCTACGTGTCCGCCAGGCAGACGCAGCGTTGTTTCAAGGGTCTAACAGTGGCCTATGCGGCCCATTGCCAACAGGAGGCGGCTCTGGATCGTCCAATCGCCGGTCATGCGAATCTCTGTCCGGAGAGCATCAGCACCAAGCCGCAGGAACTGCAGACTCTGATCTCCACCGTGAAGCACGAGATTCTGCATGCGCTGGGATTCTCCGTGAGCTTGTACGCTTTCTTTCGGGACGATGAAGGAAAACCCCGAACTCCGCGAAAATCAGACACTGGCAAGCCGTACCTGAACGAAAAGTGAGCAGCCGACTGTCGTGTTAAGTAAATTGGCGTCTAATCCGTAAAGTCCATTTGCAGATTGCAGATCCATCAGTGGAGCAACGAGACCATTCGCAAGGTGGTGCGAGAGAACTGGTCTGTGCGTGGTGGCCATGTTAACAAGGTAGTGGACATGATGGTCACGCCCCGCGTAATTGCCGAGGTGCGCGCCCACTTCAACTGCAATAAACTGGAGGGCGCCGAGCTGGAGGATCAGGGTGGCGAAGGCACCGCCCTGACCCACTGGGAAAAGCGCATACTGGAGAATGAGGCCATGACTGGCACTCACACACAGTCGCCGGTCTTCTCGCGCATCACTCTTGCATTGATGGAGGACTCCGGCTGGTATCGGGCCAACTACTCCATGGCAACGCCGCTGACCTGGGGCAAGGGACTGGGATGTGCGTTTGCCATGCGTAGTTGCAAGGATTGGATACAGTACAACCATGCCAGGTAAAACGATTCATGCACAAAATAGGTGATCCTTTGCTTACTGCCTTTTATTACGCTTGCAAAGGGGTCGCTCCATACATCCCTTCTGCTCGAAGGTCAAGCAGGATCCTCTCCAAACCGAGTGTACAGATGACCGCAACTCTGTGGCGCTGTGCAATCTAATCCGTCATGATTTTGAGCTGCCCAAAGGCTACCAGAACTTCGACAGCCTAAACCATGTGAAGGACGGCGAAGAGGGGTTCTACGGCGGTTCGGTCTCGCTGGCCGATCACTGTCCCTACATTCAGGAGTTTACCTGGCGCAGCAAGAACGTGATAGTGCGAGGATCTCATTGTCGCTTTACGGAGAATAATCCCAGTAAGACAACCAAGCTATAATTACTTACATGGATGTGTAACTACATTTCTTTGATATCCGTCTGCAGAGCCCGAGAAGAACTTCGCCTTGGAGAGCTACGGCGAGGGAGCAAAGTGCTTCGAACACAGCGAGTCCATGTGGGAGGAGCGATCCTGTCACCAGACGCGTGAGTGGCAGCACTGGGGCAGCGGATGCTACAAGTACGATTGCTTCGACGGGCGTCTGCACATCCTGGTGGGCAACTATAGCTACAAGTGCTCCTTCCCCGGACAGAAGCTTTCCATTCGAATCGCTGCCAATGGATGGCTGCACAAGGGCGTGATCATGTGCCCGCCGTGCCACGAGCTGTGCGGAGCACAATTTGCTGCTCAGGGCAAGCAGTGTCGTCCGGGCGAGGAGCCCGATCCGCTCAACAAGTACCCGCGCGACAACCTCGCCTGTGGAGCGGGCAGTGATCAATCACGATCCGTGGCCATAATTACCGCTGTTCTCCTGCTTTTCGGCCTGCGGTTGGGATTCAGTTAGGCTGAGCAGTTGGCAGGGTGCAGATTTACTTGCTCTTTATGTATGTAGTGAAATTTGTACATTTTAGCTGTATGATAAGCTCAATTTATCTAAAAGTAGGTCGATAGTGTAGTACTCCCAAATCTGAGTTGGTCGGTTTTCTAGGCAAAGAAGCTGGT